GCATATTCCGTGCCATCCAATGATTTGGTCTGTCTTAGAGACGAAGCACGCTGTCACAGTCACGCAGCCTGCCAATAACGTGACATGAAAATTCGACGCCCCTATTCGAAAACAATGGTTCTCAGGTGAGGACCTGCGCTATGGAATACCACCAATGACGAACCGAAGAAGAACAAGGACAAAAAGAACAAGATATATCACTTGAAGAAACATCCGAAGAAGATTCAATTGAAGAAGATGAAAAAGCGAAATATTTGAAGAAGTAGAAGAGAGTCATTCGAAGAAGAAAAATGAAATATTTGATGAAGAAGAAGAAAAAGAAGAAGAATTTGAAGGAACATCCGAAAAAGAGTCATTGAAAGAAAAAGAAAAAAAAAACATTTGATGAAGAATAAGTATTATCATTTGAAGAAACGTCCAGAGTCATTCGAAGAAGAAGGAAAATAGAAACCTTTGATGATGATGAAGAAGAAGAATTTGAAGATACATCCAAAGAAGAGACATTCGAAGAAGAAAAAACAGAAACATTTTACGATGATGATGATGTAAAAGAAGAAGAAGCATTTGAAGAAACGTCCGAAGAAGAAACATTCGAAGAAGAAAAGAAAAGAAAAAAATTGATGAAGAAGAAGAAACATCATTTGAAGAAACGCCCGAAGAGGCATTTGAAGAAGAAAAAAAAGAAAAAATTGATGATGATGATGATGATGATGATGAAGATAAAGAAGAAGAAGAAGAAGAAGCTCCATTTCAATAAACATCCGAAGAAGTATTCGAAGCAATTGTTGAAGAAATAGTTGTATCCGAAGAAAAAGTATCATTTAGAGAAACATGTGAATACGATGAAGACGAAGAAGAAAAAGAAAAGAAAATATTAAAGAAACATTCAAAAAGGATGAAAAAGAAGCTTTAAAAACATCTGAAGAACGAAAAGACCAACAAGGATCTCAGGCAGAATCGGAATTTCGGATTTTATGATTAAAAATGTTCTTTACTGAATATTTATAATGAAAACAAAAATCTATTGCTAGGTTAACTGCTACGAAAGATGGTTCACTTTATCGTGCGATACGATTTTTCTTTCCAGAATCTATCTTACATCTCTATAAATTTACCATTTGTCCATGCTTAGAACATTGCTGCCCCATATGCTCCAGTGTCCCTGCTATTTATCTTGGGGTCCTTGATAAAATCCAAAGAAGAATCAGCAATATTTTCGGTCCTGCTCTGGGGGCACAGCTTCAGTCGGATATCCACCGTCGTAAGGTTACCTCCTTGTGTATTTTCTATAAACAATTTCATGGTAATTCTTCGGATGGGCTCTTCACTATGATACGTGGCCTTTTTTAATTTAAGCTCGGTACTAGACTGGTGTCTAGATCTTAGCAATTTACTTTTGTGCTGGTTAAATGTATCCGTGTATTCTGTGTCTTTTTTTGCACTTATCGCCTGTGGAAATCCCTTCCATCTCCATACTTTCTAAAGAGATTTAATCTGCAAGAATTTGATTGCAATGTCAGTCGCTATCTATTGTCCATTACTCTTTTCTCTTCCCGCTCATTATTGTTTTTGTTCTTAATTCTTTCCCATACTGTAATACCTTGTGTTTAACGGTTTTACTGCCTTGAACGGAGTGATACCTATATTTTAAAAAATTAAGGAAATAAACCTCTAAGCTAGAAAGAGTTACTGAATTTTAGAGAGTGGGAAAAACAGCATTATTATGGAGAGAGAATAAAAAAGAATAATACTTAAGAGGGCAGTATATAATGATTTGACATTGCATTTAAATCTTTAAAGTTCAAAGTTGACTTGGCAGCATGACACCGGAAGAGTGTTGCCCAAGCTAGAAGTACCATAGAAGAAACTATCAGCATAGAACTTACGGTTATATCTAGCCATTTTAACTGTAAAACGATGAGACCTTGTCTCCAAACTAGTACTTCGGTTAATTTTTTAAAGTCTGGCTACCATAGGAGGATGCACATCCAAACAATTACCAGAAAGTATTTATAGATAAGTCACATGGTATCTACATTATGGTGGTGGGAAAGTGACTGAAACTGAGATGCTAGATTAGGACCAATAATATTGCAGATTCATCTTTAGATATTATCAAGAATCTCTCTGCATATAAATAGATATGAAGCTGTAGCTGTATTCAAAGAAAGGACAAAGTGAAAAAAACTAACAACATTAAGTATTAGCTGCAGTGGTAAACACAAGATGATCTGAATTTTAAATAGACACATGATAATTTACATGTTAAAACCTGATAATTTGCTAAAAAAGAAACAGAGAAGTTGGTCTGGGAGCGTATTTCAATATGTAACATCCTGCTTGTATTCGCCTGTTTTCGTTTTATTTTACGTCTTTTATAGGGAGTTACATTGAAAACGTTTTTATTGTGCGCGCCTACATGTACGATACAGTTGGTTGAGAAAGACAACGAGCTCGTCAATGAAAGACAAGAATTTCTCTTGCTTCAGAACAAAGCAGAGATTCTGACTAATTAACACGACTGTTATATACACCCACCTTGGCAATTTACAAGACAATTTGAAGTGTTTATCACTTGATCAAACAAGGTGATCTCTCGTGAGACAGATCACACCGTCTAAGTTTCAAACGAGCTTCCCACTCCGATTATCGACGAATTGAGCTCAAACATTCACCAGAATATACATTTACAATCAAAAACAATAACCAGATTTAAAAAATAATAATATACTAAAGAATTATTATTGGATATTTTGATTTGTTTTCTACACTTCATCAACGCTCTTCAGGTTTAAAAACCAGAAACTAGTTTAGGCTTGTAAGAATATTTTTAGATAATAAAAGTTTAATGTTACAAGTCTTACTATTTAATCCATAGGTGAGGGAACAGGTGGCTTCATATCTTTCCAAAGGTTATTTGTGCGTAGATGAATAGAAAGCTCACAAGGGTAAGGGAAGGGTAAAAGATGAACGGTATTCAAGAAGATAGAAAATGGCGATTGATATTGCATTTCAATTTTTGAAGATTATAGTTATCAAAGAAGCAATAAACCGAAGGGAATTCCACCATTGGGAAGTGCGAGAAAAGATTCTGTTGGAGTAGAAGTGGCAGTTACATTTAACTATTTCAACAGTAAAAGTGTGGCATGTAGATGGCAGTATAGTGGTACGCTTAAATTCATGTTGTTGGAGCACCAAGGGGAAAAAAAGCTCGCCATGAAAATATTTGTAGAAAAGACAGAGGGAAGTCACGTCAAGTCGGTGAGAATGTTACTAAAGTCGAGAATTTGTTTTATTCAGCGGAAAACTTTCAGCATTCATTTCTTTAACCAGAAATGAAACAAGATAAATTGTCTTTAGACCTTTTTATTCCTTCTTCGTCAAGCTTTTCTTTTCCTGCTCATAAAGTGTTATTGACAGTGATTCAAAATAAAACATATTTTCTCCAAGAAATATCGGTTGAAGTAGAAAAGGAGTTTACCACTCTCTAACTTCTAACCAATAGATATTTAATTATAGCTTTCTGAAGCCTGTAAGACAATCAGCGTCGAAAATTTTATACCTGGAAACGTCATACGGTTAACAAGTGCTTTATTTGGCTTGTCCTCCTTTCATCAACATGACAGTATCGATGTAAATAATTATCTTCTGACGCATCTCCCCTTCTTTCTTCGCATACGCTTCATTAACCACGGGGATGTATTTCTTTTAGAAATCTGGCATTTTGACAGGGAGCGGGTAGACATCTCTGACTCCGTCTTTAGCACTTGGAGAAGGTCAGCTAAGTATCTCTTAAATAAGTATTGACATGTATCTGATTTCTTCTGAGATCTGACGTTAGACGGAAAAATTTCTTTCTTTTTTTTTTTAAACAGGAAAATAAAAATGATAAATAAATTAATTTATTAAATTATGACAAAGATTAGAAAAAACTTGCGCCAACAAAAAGTTGGTTTGGTTTGGTTTACAACATATCAACCTCAATGGGTTATTTAATGCCGACATAATTTTTTATTGCTTGTAATATTTATTTTCCAAAAAATGTATTGCTAGCAAGAGTTTTTCTCTTCAAAAATCTATTGCTGGTAATATTGTTTTTTCATCAAAAAATTATTGCTGGTAATATTTTTTTTTCAAAAATCTATTGATGGTATTATTTTTTTCTTCAAAAATCTATTGCTGCTAATATTTTTTTCCAAAAATGTATAGCTGGTAATAATATATTTCTGATAATATATTTCTGATAATATTTTTTTACAAAAATATATTTTTGGTATTAAAACGTATTTTTACAATTTCATAGTTTTTTTTAAAACCCCAGTTTAGGTGTTAACTATTTGGCCATAGCTAGGACCCTAACAGGTGCTACCTCAGGTCAGGGTGGTCATGGGAACACCAGCAATTAAGAGGTGTATTCACGCTCCACAAAACCAGATCAGAGGCCTTGCTGACGGACGTAGTTTATCGTCTTACCCAAGAAGTGGATGTAGATTATCGTCATACCAAGGACGCACAAAAATTTGGTTCTGCAGATGGATAATGTGAATGTGATGAACGAAGTTTTTGAGAAAAGGCAAACAAAGAGACACTGAAATTTCTAGGGCACATAATGAGGAAAGTGGGCTTGGAAAATGTGATGCTCACAGGACAGATTGAAGGCAAGAGGGTCGGATAAAATCAGCGCATAACCTATATAGCGAGCTTGTGTAAATGGTCGACACAACAGGGATTAGGATAGATAGCACAAAATGAAAAAAAAATAGTAAGCGTTACAATGAACAGGGAATTGTGAAGGGTCATGATGACCCATTCATGAAGTGATACGGTGCATAGAATAAGAATATATCAGATTTTTTTTTTCCTGTATACACCTCATTACTGATTTGTACATTGATCTGAAGAAAAACAAAACTAATACTTGAAACATTGTTATGAATGTGTATTTATAAACACAAGTGTATTTATCATTCGATTCATTTTGTATTTATTTCTTATTTCAGCTGCAAATACCTCTCCCTCCCCATGTCCAATGCCCGGCACATATGCCTATAAGGATTACACTACAAACTGTGTTGGCAGCCTCATTGTAGGATGTCACAATGAAAATGAAGTGGAAATACAAGCGTCCTGTCCTTCAATGCATAAAACAGGTAAGTAATTCGAACTAAGAACCTCAAGAGCGAAAATTCTCTAATAATATTTATAAAGTTCTTTTTACTTTCTTTTTTTTTCTTCTTTACTTGCGGATGTTTCGAAATCAATAATAATGCGAGATTTTTTTTTAAGAAGTAATACTTTTTCATATATCTGACAGATTTTATCACTTTAAAATATATTTTTCGTGGATACCCATATATGATTAGACGCTCCGTTTATTTATTTAATTTCGTCTTCCGGACTAAATATTCGAGAAATCTAATCAAGGAATAAAAGCGCCCACCTTTGCGTCCAGCATTGCCCGAGAAACTGTCACTAGATCCGATGTGCTTTTAACCGACTCAGCTTGTGTACTACCTTTAAAAAATATTCCTTCTTGTTTTAGATTCGCAAAAGTTCATAAGTGTTCAGCTAAATAACGTAGGCAAAGTAAATTCTCCAGAACTAATGGATATTCTATTTATTAATCCGACATATTTTATTACCTTAAATGTTATATTTTTAGTGGTTACCCATATTTGAGTAGACGCTCCGTTTATTAATTTAACAGTATATTTATATTTACTGTCATTCATTTATATATTTGATGCTTACCTCAGCAGATCAACTATTTAGGCCGACTTATATATATATATATATATATATATATATATATATATATATATATATATATATATGTATATATATATATATATACCCAAGTATATAATTGGTATATACGGAATGAATTCAATAACCAACAATTACTATTCTTAAAAGAGTGCTCGATACAAAGTAGAGCAGATATAATTGTTATTTAAAAAAAAATAGGAAGTATTTTAAAGATCTGAATAGCTATTATAACATGATTTCGTTGTCAAGCTTTTGAATCTTCCTATACTTCGGTTTTGATTGGTCATTCTAGCTTTTGTAACAATGTTTTCCCCTAGCGAAGGATCGTTAATTAATTTGAAATTTTTAAAACCATTTATTTTATATTCAACATCAAAACTTGATAAGACATCGAGGGCGTTGAAACAAAATGGCTATTGTAGTGATTTTATAACATATTTATGTTATATTTTTTTTTTATAAATAAAAATTATATCTGCTCTACTTTGTATTGAGTACTCTTACTAAACTTTTTTTTATAAATAAAAATTATATATATATATATATATATATATATATATATATATAGGTAGGTAGGTAGGTAGGTAGGCAGGCAGGCAAGGCATCCGTAAGTTTAATTATATGTCAATACAAATGTCGGTGTGAGATCGACCCTTCAACGGTTAGAGGTGGGGATCACCCAGCATGTTCCGGATAAAGTGCGTAGGCAGGAACCAATTACATCTGGGTGTTCGCAGACTCATGTCACCGATTGGTGAACACCTTTTAAATTCTGTCGATTGCAGGACGAATTATTCTCCCGATTTCTTTTCTGTCATACGTAGGGCTAAGTCGTGGCTCCATTTAAATATCTTGAAGTCTATTATTATTAATATGTAACGTCCTGCCCTGTGTTGACAGAGGGAGATTAAATGCAGGTTGGTTCTATTTGGGGAGATATCTGCTTAACCTAGAAAATATTTATTACTTAGAAGGTTTTTTTTTTTCCTCTTCCTTTAATTTTCCCCCTTTTATTGCATCTTAGTCATCTATTGTTTCTTTTGCTAATAATTTTTCTCATCAACTTCTTTGTTTTATACTACCGACGATTATTTTTCTGAAGAAGTGTCGGTCGAAAGGCGCCTCAAATCCCTCCCCCCATTTTTCTTAAACGAGATACTTTTGTATCTATTTTAACAATAAAATAAAAAATATGATCATTATATTTAAATCAATTTTGACCTGGTGTGACAGTAAAAAGAACAGAAAAGAATATATATATATATATATATATATATGTGTGTGTGTGTGTGTGTGTGTTGTGGATTCCGTGAATGGAATCCTGCACAAATAAATAAACAACGCCAGTAATTAAGATAGAAAAATAAGTGTATTAAACGTAAGGATACAGACTTGAAGTGAAGATTAGTAGTCCGGGAATGCGGGTTACTAGAAAGTATATGTACAAATCTCTGTAAGTAAAGCCGTAATCATATATATATATATATATATATATATATATATATATATATATATATATATATATATATATATATATGAGAACACCCTGTGTCGGTCTCGTATCTCTCAACATATCTCAAACGTATCTCAACAGCAGGTATTCTCTCTGTCAGTATAAGTATACGTTGAACAGTCCATCTTATGTAAAAGGGAGCCCCACAACATATATATATATATATATATATATATATATATATATATATATATATATATATATAATAAAAAAAAGAAAAGAGTAAGTAAGATATATAAGTTATTCCGAAAGAAAAGTAAGATATATAAGTTATAAGTTATTCCAAAATTCGCTTGAAGATGAAACAGAACTAATGCTTTTAATTTAGTTATATAAATAAATTTGAAGATTTTACCATCGATATTTGAAACATGGTAATTCCTGTGTAGCGAAGAAACCATATTTTAAATCAGTTAATTTATAATATATATATATATTGTCGAGTTCATTGCATTCACTTACGCGCAAATAAACTGGGAAAGGCATGAATCAATCTCCTGCCCAAAATTAATAAGTTTACTTTTGATAGATCAGCCTCGTTACATATTTTTTATCAGCCCTCGTACACATTATCTTATATAATTCTTGAAATCATACAGACAAATCCTATAATATCTATGGATTGAGTAAATTCAACCAGCCGTTAGACTGTGAATACAATCAATGTGTTAAGCGTAGCTTATCCTTAAATTTGAACCCCGACTGTTTGATCCTGGGGCAAATTCTTGCTCATTACCTCTGCACGAACAAAGATGCATTCTCCTCCACATAGCATATTAACTTGTAATCAATGAACAGGAGCAATAAAAATGTAAACTAAATTGTTTCTGTGTTCATCTCGAGATTTTCACCAAGTCTTGAGTTACTCCCCACGTATGGCCATATTCAGAAGCACCTGTGGCTTACGGGCAAAAAGTTAATCTTCACGTTTGTGGTTGCGTGAGTCCCCAGACGCAAAGCAAGTGGCGTACTCGCTACTTCCCGAGCTATCAAATTATTGCTTGCTAACTGCTTACTTTAACAGACTTCTCGGCATGCTTTGCTGTAAGAGCTGAAATACGTGTGTCTAAATTATATACTGTATTTAAAATCCTACACACACTTATAATTATATAGTTTAACATTTGGTATATTTAATAGATAAGTGCTACAAATATCGTGGATAAAGTTTTTATAGATGTGAACAGCTTGGGAACAGATGTCACTTCATGTACGAGACTGACGTTCACGATGCAGGGTTGATTTTGGCTGCGATTAAAATCAATGCCTTCACATGATTCATCATCCAATACTGACATCATATATGGCGCTTTTTTTTCCTGCTATGGTCATACATTCTCTTGCACAGATATGGTAACGCTAGCTTTTAGTTGAACAAGTTGTAATATAAATATCTGATAGCATTTAATAAATGACTACTTTCTGTGTGTTGTGTCGATGTTGATTATTTAGGTCTGTCCTTCTCTGGCAGACCCCACTCATTGCACATAAAATTTCTTTTTTTTACCAACATGTTCAGAGATATTTACATCAAGACCCTTGAATATCTCTCAAGTTTTCAGGTGCAAAATATCATCATCATCATAATCATCATCGTCGGCGTCATTCCATTCTGTAATCGTAGTGGGGATCGGAATGCAGAAGCCACACTAACTCTTTTCCACAACGGTCTATTAACGGCAGCCATTAGCAATCCTGGTAGTCATACCTGTCCATTGCTTGATATTGTCCAACCATTTTTTGCGTTGGCACCCTGTCCTATGTCCGCCTTCAACGGTGCCTTGCATGATGGTCTTGTCGTGATTTGTAATGTTTCCAAAGCACGCCATTTTTCACCGTTTGACATTGGCGAGAAGAGGTACTTGGTGACCCACAAAACTTTCAGTATTAAAAGAATATTACGTGTAAATGGATGTCTAAATCATAATCAACTGTCAACACACTAATATGTACTAAAGAAAAACAACAGCTACAATGACAACTATCTAGACGCGTGCTAATTACATGGATTTAATTATATTTTTTAAATGGTACACTGTACTTTTCACCTTATGATTTTTCGCAGATAGTTATAAGAAAAATGATATAGTTTTATTATATATATATATATATATATATATATATATATATATATATATATATATATAGATAGATAGATAGATAGATAAACCTAGTGAAACCTGTGTAGGTTTTTCTAGCTCACTAGGTTTATCTACGTCTGCTCTACGGTTGTATTGAGCTCTTTTGTTAGTCAGTTGTTTACTCGTGTCGGGGTTTTTTTCTTTGGGCTTCAAACCTGTATCTGTGCGATTTTTTTCGACAGACTTTCATGTTTCTAGCTCTTTCTTTTTTAAAACCTTTTTTTCCCTCGAAATTGATTTGATTATTGGCAAATAAAAAATTCGAAGGTTTTTCGGAACGAGTAGAGTTACCTATATATATATATATATATATATATATATATATATGTATATATAGGGCGTGTGTGTGTGTGTGTGTGTGTGTGCAGGTCTATATGTAAGCAGTTAATTAGTATATTTTATATTGAAACATTATTTTCTTTTTGTTCTATAGTTGAAATTGTGCAGTGTTTGTACTACTGGAAAGAATTGCACATGGTACACCTGATCACACAAAAGCCGACCACAGGCACACGGACTACTGGATATTGCTTGGTAAGTGAAAAAAATCTCATATCTTCCTGCTTATTCTGTTACTTTTACATCGTAGGCTTTGCTACTGCAAATTCTATGTTATTTATTTGAAGAATTTATCAAAAACAACTTTATTTCATGTTCAAACAAAATTCATTTCTCACTTGTTTTTCAAATGAAACAATGTTCCACTTTGATATTTCTCAATAAACTTTCTTGAGTTCAAAACAATGTTGAAAGTAATTAAAATATAATTTTGAAAATTTGAAAACACCAACAAGTTATTTTTATTTATATGTTTCCCATAATATTGTTACCTCCTAGACTGAAAATTCGAGAAACACTTGATGAAAATAAGAAAAATTATTTACATTATGCGGAGTATTGTCCTCATCTTTGTTGCCATATTTTATTACAATGTTTCAGCCGTTGTACGCTCCGGCCTTCTTCAGGTGGTTGGAATGTCGAACTGAACCCTTTATTTCACTCACTGGGGTAGACTGTTCTAGTTCCACGTGCCATGTCTAATGGATGTCAGTTATCATTTATCTACCGCTAATTTCCCTCTGAAAGTTCTTTACTGCCTTAATCGGGTATTGAACTCACACTATTTAGCCAGAAATTCATACACAGATGTCCTGAAGGACACATGACACAGTGGATAAAGGCGTTAGTTAGATGCAGTGAGAGGACCCAAAGAGTGTGAGTTCAATGCCCGGTTAAGGCAGTGGAGAACTTTCAAAGGGAAGTTAAGAGGGGATAACTGATAACTGACATCCATTAAACATGGCACGTGGAATTAGAACATTTTCGTCGACATATACAAACTCTACATTTCATTCAATTTCACAAACCAATCGATGAAATTTGAATAAGCTGATTCATCTGGAAAAAATATTTTGACAAAAATCCTACTTCGCGGTTTTTACGCACCCTAGAGAAACCTACTGCACTTTATACCCACATACCTGTTTGCACGTCCCCTTAAAATTTGGTTCTAAAACGCCACTATATGGCTATCTTAGAAGGTTTGTCGGACGGACGGACTAAAGGAAGTCACAGAATTTTATATATAAGTAGATGTGCACAAGATTTTTCTTTCTTTTTATGTGCCATGTCCTTTCAGGACGTGACCGATCATAGCTCTCCACCTCTCCCTTTATCCCTTCCAGCTCTCAACATGTTCCTTCCCTCTGCTTCCTTCCCTAGACTACCTTCTGTCCTTCCATTGCCTAAGTCCGCCAGTTATGTCACGCCTTGTTTTCCCCTTGTCTTTCTTTCCCTCTATTCGACCCGTGAGTATCAGATTCTCCAGGCCTTCCTTCCTCATTATGTGTCCCAGAAACTTCAGCTACTTCTTTTTGATATTAAGTATATGCCTCCCCCTTGTTTGCAACCTCATCATCGTTGGTCACACGCTCGGTCCGTGATATCCTTAGCATCCTTCTGTAGGACCACATCTCCATCACATCCTTGTGGCGTATTTGTCGAAGGCCTTTGCGTCGTCTATGAAACATAGGTACACGTCCTTCTGCATCTGTGTCGCTCTTTCTGATAATATTCTGAGCATGAATATCGCGTTCCTTATTCCGGTGTCTTTAACAAAGCCACACTGTTATGTTCTCTCTCAGGGCTGATTCTGCTGCGTGCCCTGTTCATTAGAATATGGATGACGAGTTTTGTCATGTGGCTCATCAGGCTTATTTTTCGGTGGAGTTTTTATTTGTTGGCGTCTGTTTTCTTAGGCATGGCCACGAAGATTGATCTGCTGAGGTCTTCCGGTATATCCTCGTTGTTGTATTTTTTATTTCGGTGATCTTGCAGACATTAATAATGAGGATATAGCAAAAGAGATTATCATTTTCTTTCAAATGACAGTCGGGAAAGTCTGTCAAATTAACACCTGACATAAAACTTGTATCTGACGTAGAGGTGTTGCATGTGGAAAAAAATGTCTTCATTGGAATTTATCTACGCACAATGGATGAAGGTCAAACAGAAGATGTGAGTACATTTGGCCGGTGAGAAATACGTTTCAGCAATGGCGACAAATAGCGCCACTCCGGTGTCAAACCACAAAATGAAGAAACATGGCAAAAATGAATAAGCTGAGGCTGAGAGTATGGTTGAACAATGTCGGTTTGTCACTAAAAACTTGCTCCATCCGAACTCCTTGTATCGATTGAAATTGTTGTGAAAATAACTAGGATTTATTATTTTCGAGGCGTTCGGTATATATTTTGAATTGGAAGAAAAATAAAGAAGCAATCGATTGATATTTTTGGAAAATTTATTGCGGCAAAATTTCCAGGATTTTTCAAAAGAGAAATATTACGATAAAAACATGTAAATGGATATCTAAATCATAATCAATAGTCAACACACTAATATGTACTAAACAAAAACAACATCGATAATGATACCTAGTAAGACTCATTACATGGATTTCATAGCATATTTTTTTTAATGGTATACTGTACTTTTTAACTTATGACTATTCCCAGATAGTTATGAGAAAAATGACTTACTTAACAAGTCTTACTTAACCTTTTTTTATGTGACTTCATTTGTTGTACAAACAATTTATCCTGAAGGTGAATCTGATCCCTGAATAATAGTGTTTGAATTCCATAGTTGTGTTGTCATATCCTGCTATGGCAACAGAAAACAACTTTGAATGAAATTTATAGTAAGCATACAGCACTTGAGAGGCCTTGAAAAAGAATTCTGTGGTAATAATTTTCTAGATGTAACCTAGATATGGCACATGGTCTAAAATATGAGGCAACAAGTGAGGATCGAGCTCACTCCTCAGTCGTAGTTATTCTAGCAAGTCAAGCTTGCTACCCATTACACCCACGGTGAGTGCCCCCCCTCCCAACCAAAAAATGCAATGGAGAGGGAATTAAGGATAATAAATGTTACTTTCAAAAGGTCACACGCAGTTCAGGGGCGAATTTTGCCTCAATATATCTTTAGGTCACGAAACATGAGTTAACCTCTCACTACAGACAACTGCATTTACCTAAGATGACCTCTTCGAATCCCCTCTCTATATCGCAGTCACTTTCTCTTTCTCTGCTTCACTCGCTCGCTCTTTCTATTTTTCTCTCTGTGTCACCCCTGTCTATAAGTTTCTCTCTCAGTATCTGTGATACCATGCGTGATACACACCATACATAGGTACAGGCGTATTGATATAAAATATATATATATATATATATATATATATATATATAGAGAGAGAGAGAGAGAGAGATAGATAGATAGATAGATAGATAGATAGATAGATAGATAGATAGATAGATAAATAATAATAATAATAATAATAATAATAATAATAATAATAATAATTTTCGTGTAGAAGATCATTAATACTTGGATCTCGTAAGTTTTTGTTTGACACCTCTGGCTCAGAAAGAATACCCCCTCCTCACCACTAATAAAAAAAAAGAAAAGAAATCCACTGGCGCTGGCTCCACCTGCAAGAGAAACCCTAACAGTTTTGTTTATATTTATATCAAAATCGCTGTTGAAAGAAGTGGTTTGATGGTTGTTTGTATTCAGTTTAGATAATACCATCCGCACCTGATCAGCGTGGATATTCCGTTTCCCAGCATGAGACAAGCCCTCGGACTTTGACACGTCAAAAGAAGCCACTAAATTGAAATGCAGGCACCGACGTCAGCCATATTTACCCTTCCACCCAGGTCTTGCATCCTCTATTTCACTTGCAAGTCTGAATAATACCCCGACTTTTCTGCTTCTTCCTCCTCGCATTTGCATTGTCACGTGCCCCCGAGTCATGCCGAAGCCGCTGATTGGCTGTCTGTCCTTACTATGGCATCCTATTGGCCAAAAGAAATATAAAGTTATGAAAATAAGGAAATGCAAGCAAGAAGTTGCATACGCTCTGTCAAAACGCAGATTATGGCATCCATAATGATTAGCCTGAACAGGAGTGACTCTCTTGCGACTTTTCAGATATAACATTATTTACTGTGTCAGAAATACATACATATATATATATATATATATATATATATATATATATATATATATATATATATATATATATATACGTTTGTATGTGTGTATGTGTGTAATGTATGTACGTATTTATAAGTGCACACATACGCTTACATGTATATATACGCTTATATTGTTTACATATTAACAACTGGATATTGGCTTACGGTCATATCAAGTTGAAAAAAGTTAAGCAGAGTCGAGTCTCATACGTACTTAGATGGGTGACCGCCTAGGAATATCAGGTGCTAAAAGCATGGATTAATGGATGGAAAACGAAGAGAATAGATAATCCTAATTGAGTTCCAATTCCAGTCGGGTCCGTTATATTCACTTTCCCGAAAAAGCCATTTAGAAACGAAGGAATCCACCACTTCTCCCGCCAGGTATGGGTTAATTAGGAAGACATGTATGAATAAATCATTATTTTCTACGAAAATTCTAACAATCCCCAAAATAAGTTCTGACTTATATAACCTGCAAATAGAAGGATAAGCTGCAAAAACAAGTCAGTTAATAGAACTGTATATCACAAACACATACAGACAAACACTCGCGCATATATATATATAATATATATATATATATATATATATATATATATATATATATATATATATAGAGAGAGAGAGAGAGAAGGTGTTAGTCAACCGGACAAACAAAAAGGGATGAACAAATACGAAGGATTTTATTTTAAAAATATACAAATACTAGCATACTCCCTAGGATTTGGTAGTATGTAATTATATATTCAAGCACGTGCGCACACACACACACATACATATATAATCACTGAGCATTTAATATGTATTTGAAAATAATCAGATCGTTTACTCAAATATAGATATCTACTAGCAATTAAACACTTAATATATATATATGTATGTGTGTATGCAAATACGTATATACTTGTGTGTGTGTAAAAGTTTCACATAGAGCATATGCAAAAGGGAATCTCAATAAAGAAGAAAGGAAAAAATTATCTTAGCCGACGCGCCCTCAGAGGACGAAACGCGTCGGTTAGGATAAGATTATCCTTTGTCTTTATCCACACACACACACACACACATATATATATATATATATATATATATATATATATATATATATATATATATATATATATATCTATATCATTATTTTTTTTGCAATTTGAGAGGTTGATTTCTGTAGTAGTCGAAAGAACCCAAAAGAAACAAGAAATATTTTCAATTTTCTGAAGGTGACGTCTGCGCAGGTGCGGCTATTTAATATAAGCATTTGTGAAGGAGGAAAATCTAGAAGTTGTACATATTTTGCATAGCTTCTGGAAGCAAAAGAAAGTATAGCCTTCAGGTAGATATAATCAAGTTTTGATAGTTTATGCTAATTGCCTGAAGGTGGCATCGTGCCACCTTAATTATCTGCACATAGCATCTGGGGAATTACAAAAGTGGCAGACGGCTGTCGCAGTAATTACGGATAGCACAGACGAGTCAATGAGAAGTCAACGTGGAGAGAAACTGCGATCCATTGGAGAATAAAACTCACTTCTAGAATCAAATTTATAAGGAGACGTAAAAAGATTTTGTTTTCACTTGTCATTTTAGAATATTTTCGAATTCAGATGTATTAGATATAAATATAACTAATAATGGAATAAAACAGTAAACTATATATCATAATACATATCTATGTATGTATCTATGTGTGTGTTTCTCTCTCTCTCGCTGTGTGTGTTTAAATAATGATCTGACGCCACAGAATAAATATATTGATGTATGTACGGTGGAGTAATGGATAGCGGTTCGGATTGAGAAAGCGGAGAGCCGAGTTCGCATTCTAGTCGAATCCATAACATTCACATACGTACTATTACCCTTGGGAAAAGTATGAATCCTCTTCTTCTCCTGATAATTTTTTTTTTAATAATTTGCTTATTTTTCCGTAAGACACATTTCGCAATACCTGCAGCATTGTTGCTGTTATCGTTAATTTTTTTTTTTTTTTTTATTGAGATTTACAAACACGACATTTCGTTCAATTTCGCAAACCAATCAATGAAATTTGAATAAGCTGATTTGATTGGAAAGAAACTTTAACAAAAAACCCCTACTTCGCGTTTTTACGAACCCTAGTGAAATCAATTATGCTTTGTATCCCATTACATTTTGCACTTCACCACAATCAATCGTTTCGGTCATTGTATGATTATTTTCGAGAAAAGAAAAACTTCCAGAAATAGAATTAAAAATAGTCGTGTGAGGTTTACCGTGATTAACCAACCGAATGTGTCTTACATTAAATGCGAATCACCTAAAATTTATATATATATATATATATATATATATACGGACATATGTCACAGCATTTTATATATAGTTTTGCACAAGATATTAATAATTTCTTTAATTTATTTTTATAGGACTTCATGGTAAACAATATTTTTAAGAGCTTTTTCTATTTATCCTTTTTAAGAACATTTCTATTTGTCCTTTTTAAATTCTTAGGTTTTCTTACTCTAGAGCATGCAGCATACAACTGACCAGGCATAAATATTTCTTTCTAGAGCCAAATTCTCACTTTTTGAAGCGTTTGTCCTTGTGATTTGTTTATAGTTCTCGCAAATGCAGAAACTGGATTCTTGTATATATAAAAACTAAAAGAATAGATATGCAAAAAAACAATATTCCATTTTTATTAAATAAGTATTTCTATTTTAAAATTTAAATTGTTTTTAAAATGATGCGAGGATTTTCTATGTTAAATAATAAAACATTTAAGTTTTCCAAAAATTTAATGAAAATTTATTGTACTAAGCAATGCACCTTTGTAAAACCAACTGTACTTTGTATCTCTTTACCTGTTTGCACTTATTCCCAAAATTTAGTTTTGATAGGTCAATGTTATGGCTATTTTAGGGGTTGTAACGGACGGACTAAAGGAGGTTGCAGAATTTTATATATAGAAGTTTGTAAACAGTTTTTACATAGCGAACACATGTATTTAAATAATGATATGAAGAAAATCAGTTTTACCATTGTAAAGCTTCGTAGATATTCTATATAATGGCAAAACCTATGCTTTACAGACAGCTCCTCTTTAAGCGTATATTCCTCTTTCCTTACCATGTGTTCATTTCTGTTTTTTCTTTGACAGACATTTGCAGACAGCATGGATATCATGAACGTTTATTCCAACCCCCTTTGCAGCTCTGATTTGCTTCTGATAATGAATAAGACTCTAAGCATTCAGCTGACTAAACCAAAAGGTAAGTTAAAAAAAAAAAAAAACGTCTTGATATTTTTCCCACTATCTGACAGTCTCTAGACTCTTAATGCTATTACTACAGGAAATTTTCACTGAAGCCACATTTACCAACATTTGATAAACGATATTGTACAAACCATATTTTCTAGTGTTAGGAATTTTCGAAATGTGATTCTACAGCTGCTCTGATCATAGCTATTAATCCTCTTTTTCAATGCTCGTTTGAAAGTAATTTTTCTACTTCTAGTGAAGGAAGGTTAAGGACGTTTTTGGCCGTATAGTGTACCCTCTCATTTGTTGACAACTTTCATTCACGTGAATGTAAGTCCGTCAAAATGGATTCAGAGTTATCATTCTCCTAGACTGGTTACCAATCACGGTTAAATAGGCCCGTCTGCCTTGCTACTTAACCCGTAATGGCGTGGAGATATGATGGATTAAAACCTTTATTGAAGGTATCTTTGTGAAGATGAACACAATGAATGCAGCTGCGTATTTGAACTTGGATGGTTCATTCGACTTTCTGCGCTGTTCACTGATATATCAACAATTTTTAATTACGCCAAATTAAATATTTTCATGTAAAATTTTCAGTTTTAATGTCTACTCTCGTCTGGTTATTTAATTTTTGTTGTTTTTGCTTTTGCAGCGAAATGCGTAAGACAGAAAGGGCCTGTAGCATCATCGGGCAAGCAACATCAGAAAGGGGACCATATCATCGCTGTACCAAACGGAGGTTCTAACGAACTGATAAACGGGGCCGACTCAAATTGGACCCGCGTCTTGTGGCATCAAATGCTACTGCCAATCGTTACATTTGCAATGGCCGTGTGCTTGCAGTCGAGCCGGTGAATAAATCGAGTACGCTCGCATTTTACTGTGTGCGATAAAAAACAAAATAAAATTGACAGAAAAAAAATGATGATTAAAAAAAAAACAAACAAACAAACAAACAATCAACAGAACATAAAATACCAAGTTAAAGGAAACTTGAACTTTTAAAACGAAAAGAATTAAAAAAAAAACAACAAAAAACAAAACAAAACAAATAAAACAAATAAGCAAACAAACAACAACCAAAGTTCCGAAATTGTTTGGGACGCTGAAATGAACAATGAAAGAATCAAAAAAAGAAAAAATAATTTAAAAAAAAATAATTAAAAAAAGAAGAGATTTTTTTATGGGAAGGTAAAAAAAAACCTGTTAAACCAGATGAAAGTCTACAACAGCCCAATAATACCAACACCAAAAAAAGAAAAGAAAAAAAAAAAACTACACAGCAAAGTCAGAATGAAAAGAAACAAAATAAGCTCTAAACATTAAACTTATCATTAAAACTCCTTTACAAAAGTGCAAATGCGAAAAATTATTGACCCCAAAAAACAAGTACACAAACAAAAAACATCCACAAACTGCCGTCAAAACGGCAGCTAAATAGTTCATACTAACATTTTATAGTAATATTACATACTAATGTAATATTGCAGTTCTATACATGTTAATGGTAATTATAAATTTCTATGTCACACAATGGAGGGAAGAGCCGCAAATTGTTTTGCAAAAGAAAGTCCTAAGAATTGTTTTTATCATAATGATCACAAAAAATGAAAGAAAAAAAAAGAGATAAATAAATAGACTCAAACGAAAAAAAAAAAAAAAAATTACAGAAAAAATAATTTTAAAAATTCATGAAAAAATTAGTCGGTAACTGAAATTAAAGAAAAAAAAAGAAAAGAAATTGAAAATATGATAATAATCTCGATTGAAATATATTTTTGTGATATTGTTTCAGATGTGGAAGTACGCTTGCTAAAGCTCAAAGAAACAAAAGAAAAAAAAAGAAATAATAATATTAATGAAAATACAAGCGTGTAAAGCTGATGTATATATATATATATCTAACGCAAATTGAAAAGAGTGAGAGTGTGAATGTTTTCTGTATGTTAGAAGCTTGAAAGACGAAGAGAGAGGGAAATAGCAAAAATAAAAAAAATTAAAAAAAAAACATTAAAAAAGCAAAAAAAAATTAAAAAGATTTTTGGTGGCGGGGGTGGGGGTTTAATAAATAATAATAAAATACATTTCTGCAAACAGTAACGCTAAATAATGAATCTAAGGTAATTGACGCAATATTAATTTTAGAATCCAATGTTTTAAAAAGTATTTGACAAGAATTAAATTTATGAATATTAAATTAAAATGAATTAAATGACTGAAACACAGCCATACCTAGAAACGTATGTACATACACAGCCATATATATATATATATATATATATATATATATATAAGATGTACATAAAAATAAAATTTTCGGTTTAGTTAACCACTAACATTTTTTGTTTCACACTTAGCGATTTTTCAAAATGGGTGCCAAATTGATATTTGGATGGCCTAGGGATCTAGCAATCTTTTCCCGTTATTATTATTATTATTATTATTATTATTGTAATAATAATAATAATAATAATAATAATAATAATAAAAGGAAAGCGTCAGCGTGCTGAGTGTTCAAAAAATCATTCGTTTTCTTTAATAAATTATTTGATGACGTTATTTGGAACTATCGGCACACCTACACTGTTCCTACCGAAAAACGGGCAAAGAACAATAGATCTCATGAGTGTTCATAATAAACAGACATCCATTTTGAAAAATCGCTCAGCTTGAAACAACTGTTAATCAGTAATTTAAAAAAAAATATTTTCATGCATATTAAAAGAAATATTTTTTAAAGTATTTGAAATAGAACACTCTTATATAGAATTATGAATAATAAGTGTAATGTATATATATATATATATATATATATATATATATATATATATATATATATACATATATGCATGTTTTAATTCATCATCCATATTTATGCAGAAGTATTTATATATATACATACATACATGTGTACATACATGTGTACATACATAAATAAAATTATATATATATATATATATAATGTAAGGCGATTTTATTAAAATGCTTTTTATCACTATATTTATGAACATAATATGAAAATATCAGCATATATGCTCAGACGAGCATATATATATATATATATATATATATATATATATATATATATATATATATATTAAAGTAAACATGTTTTCAAATATATACGAAAGTATATATCATATACATATGTATGTCTGTGTGCATATGAAATTTCACTATATATATATATATATATATATATATATATATATATATATATATATATATATGCATGTATGTGTGTATGTGTATATGCATATGTGTGTACGTACATAGACGTTGTTGCGCACCCCATAAATACGTATGCATATAATGTATCATATGTAACTACACAAGATATGTCCACGAACATTATATGATACAGGCAACTTAGTTTGAAACTAGCTAATAATAAATAAATACATTTATCAAAATAACAATTAATAGTTTGTTTTTTATTAAATGAGTAATTTCTAAGTAGGATTATTTTTAAATAAAATATACTTAAAATAGCTTTGATGTAAATATTCTGGAGGTGATGATGGTCACATGAAAAGAAAGGAATATTAATAATTACAATAATAATAATTATAATAATGAAAGAAAGACGAGCTGAAACCACGAAGAAGAAGAAGAAAAACAAAAACAAAAGAAACATTCATTTGTACAGTTTACAAATAATCTATTTATCAAAAGAAATTTTAAAAAATACAAAAAAAATATATAAGTATAAAATAATGATCAATTCGTCAGCAAAGTTTGTAAAAATTGTGTTCCGTTTGCTCTGTTCGGATTATGTATTTCTGGTAAGAAATTATTTATCTACTTTCAGCGATAATACCACAGAAAAGACAAAAACAAACAAACAAATATCAAGATAACATTTTAAACATTAAAAATTTAAAGACCAATTTCAGTACAATAATAAAACAAGAACAATAAAAAAATTTCAAAACAAAATACAAAACACAATAAAAAAGCCGGCCAAACTAACCAATATAAAACAAACCAACAAAAATATAGTAAATCTTCCCTAACAAATGTAAGACATAGCACAAAAAAGACAAAAAAAAAAACAAACAAAAAAAAAACAAACAAAATAAAACTAATAAAAAAAAAACAGTTCGAAATCATCTCCCTTGGTGACGCCTCAAACAATGGTTAAAATATAAGAAATAAAGAAGCCCAGTTAAACTCATCGTGTTCCCAATTATTTTCCCGCTCAAACACCAAATTATTATTCCAGTTACATTCTAATTTGTTAATTCTGATTGTATTTCAATTGAAGAAATATAAAAGTAAAGACAAGAGGAAACACAACTTTCGAAACGAAATGCTGTACCATACCTCTTTCGGTAAATTACTTCAAATAGAAAACTGAGAAGCCTTTCTTGATTTGATTTCAAACCTGATCTCAATTATATAAAATAACAGGCGTTTGAAATGTCGAAACACCGGACAGAAAGTTTTTTGTTTTTTTTTATCATTATTAACAAATTAATTCAATATCAAATTTAAAAAAAAAATGGGGGAAAAAAGGAGAAAAAAAAAAGAAACACCATCTGCTACAATATTAAAAACAAAAATATAAAGAACATCTCATTGAAATATATAAATATTTCATACAACAAAAGAAAGGGAGAAGAAGAAGAAGATAAACACTAAAAATAAAGAAAAAAAAAGACGAAAAAATCTAAAAAAAAAAAACACTGACCTCTGTATTGCAACCTTCTCAATTTTTCTTGAAACAATGAAATGGATGGGAAATAAAGAAGGATTTAAGTAATATTTCTTGAAAAGAAAAATAACGAAAGAAGTATTAAAGCGTGAAAAAAAAAAGACTATTTCAAGAATACAGAGAACTTAACATCTTGACATCAAAAAAACAACCTGAAGACAATGACTATTTCTATAAAATAACCATGATTACATTTGTAATCGTATCAGTCGATTCCCTTCAACGAACATTTCAAAAGGAATTGACGAAACCTGCAAATCACACGTACGCAACACGCCCACGCACATTTACCTACAAACACACGTTATCTGGATAAGTCAATCCTAAGGGACCCCCACCCACCTCATGTTTCACCACCAAAAATGTTTTGGAAGGGATAGCTTTTTTTTCCCCACCCCCGCCAAAGCAAATATTAAATAAAAATATATCTCTAAATAAATAAATATATATCTATATAACTACCAAAACAAAACATTGTATCAATAATGAAAGAAAAAAAAAAGAAAAAAAGAGAAATCTGATTTGTGTCTTAAAGCGTTTTGACTGCGAAATCTTTTCTTTTTATTTTTTTAGAAAAAAAAAATTGTTTTTTTCTTTCCATATTTTTGGTTTTACTATTGGCAAAATTATTCCCCCCTTCCTCCAACCTTAATTCCTCCTCCTCCTTTTTGAAGCACTTTTGAGCTTGACTCAGTGGTGAGGGCAGCGGACTGTCAGCCGAGAGGTCTGAGTTTCCATTCCAAGTGCCGGGTCAGTGAGGCTTGTCACTGCAATACTCATCTAAGTGAAGGAAATCTATGATTTCAAACCAGGACAAGAAAAGACCCCCCCTTCCTTTAGCAACCAGTCGATTTCTTGTAAAATCCACGATTACTCGTGTGCTATAAATATTTGTGCTTTCATCTACTTATAAACATTTTAGAGAAAAGATTATACATTGGTTTTTTTTTGTTGTTTTTTTTTTTCTTTATCTCTCCACCTTCTCAATCTCTTTCAAAATGAAAAAAAAAAGAAAAAAAAGACAAACCTAAAATATCTGGACTATGAATGATTTTTTTCCTTATTTTCCTGAACTTCGATTTTGTTGTTGTTGTTGCTGTTGTTTTTATTTTTTTTGCCGATTGTTCATTTATTTCCA